TTTGAGCTGTTTAATTTTATTTATTTTAGACAAATCATACACTAAAGTCTCTAAACAATTGTCACATAAGGCATAGTGATAATTTGTATAATTGTATAAATTTTAATTTTACCATACATTTTGTCAAAAAAGTACATGTTTCGAGACTTTAGTGTATGATTTGTTTAAAATAAATAAAATTAAATAGCTCAAAGTTTAATATTTCTGTTTTGAGTATCCTAAATTAGTTTTAACAATATTTATAATTTCCAGTCAATTTTATATTTTTTTAAATATAGCTTAAATCGCCTTCTGTAGTTAACGCTATGGTTAACAACAAAATTATCCATATCATAATGTGGGTGGAGAATTAAGTGTAAGAGAATGTTCAAATCATATTTTAGATATATTATTGAATTTTATTTATCCATAGAAAAATAAACACAAACTCGACAAAAAATCTTGCAATACACAAAATAAAATTGACTAAAAATGATAAATATTATTAGAACTAATTTAGTATACATAGAACAGAAAGATTAAATTATAAGCTGTTTAATTTTATTTATTTTAGACAAATCATACACTAAAGTCTCTAAACAATTGTCATAAAGCATAGTGATAATTGGTATGATTGTATAAATTTTAATTTTACCATATATATATTCTGTCAAAAAAGTACATGATTCGAGACTTTAGTGTATGATTTGTCTAAAATAAATAAAATTAAATATTAAAGTAAAATTTAATATTTCTGTTCTATGTATACTAAATTAGTTCTAACAATATTTATAATTTTTAGTCAATTTTATTTTGTGTATTACAAGATTTCTTGTCAAGTTTGTGTTTATAATTTTTTTTCTATGGATAAATAAAATTTAATAATATACCTAAATATAATATAAACATTTTTTTACGCTTAATTCTCTGCCCATACTGTAATGTAAATAATTTTGTTGTCAACCATAATGTTAACTACAGAAGGCGACTTATGCTTAATTTTTTTAAATATAAAATTTAAAATATAAAATTGACTGAGAATTATAAATATTGTTGAAATTAATCTAGGATACTCAGAACAGAAATATTAA